TACTGCTACGACTACTACTACTACTACTACTACTACTACTACTACTACTAGTACTACTACTATACGACTACTACTACTACTACTACTACTACTACTACTACTACTACTACTACTACTACTACTACTACTACTACTACCACTACCACTACCACTACCACTACTACTACTACTACTACTACTACTACTACTACGACAACAACTACTACTACTACTACTACTACTACGACGACGACGACGACGACGACGACGACTACTACTACTACTACTGTTCCTCCACCTCCATCCCTTGTTCTGATAGGTAACCACGATAAGTCTTTAGAACCCCTCCCTCCTAGGGGATGACTAATCATCTGTTCGGTGGCCTTATTGAAGGACTGGGGTCCCATGGTAACCAAATATTTTCTTCCGCGACACCCGCCGCGCAACGACGACGACGACGACGACAGGAGGAGGAGGAGAAGGATGGCGAAAGTGGGGAGGACGAGGAGGAAGAGGTTTTAGGACCAGTCCTGTTCACCGCCGAGTGAAAGGGGGAGATCAGAACCAAAGACCTCTTGAGGTTAATCCCACCAGCCCTCTGGGCGTAGGTGGTCTAGGTCAGTTCCTCTTCCAACCCCCTTCTTCCCCTTCGGTGAAGGATTTACCTCTCCCCCTACCCCCTGCCCTGGACCTGGACGGGGGGGGGGGCGGCGAGGCGTTGGAGCGTCCAAAATGGCCCAAGGCAGCCCCAAGAGGGCCACTGAGAGTCCAAAAAGAGCTCCAAGATGGCCCAAGATACCGCACGATGGCTCAAGATGGCTCCCAAGATGCTGGAAGAGGCCCAAAAAACGTTCCAAGACGGCTCCAAGAGGCCTCCGAGACCTCCAAGGAGGCCCCCAAGAAGCCAGCATCCTTCAAACACCTGAAAAAAATACGCCGGCCCCCTTGTGGGGCCACCAGGCTGCGAGGCGCGTGATTCGCAGTTTCCTGTACCAGTTGTAGTTTGTAGTTTCCAGTGTTACAGTTCTGCTTCTTGCTGGTTACTGTAACTAGTTGACTTCTTGCTGGTTACTGTAACTAGTTGATTGACCGCGCGAGGCCCAAACGGGATTTTTAGCGTCTCCTGGGCGCGTTCTCTGAATTGCTGGGGGGGCTCGAAATCGACACCCCTCACGCAGATCCGCGGGGTCAGGGTCCAAAAACACAAGGGATTTGCCACATTTCTGAAATTCGGCGCCACCCCTCACGCAGATCCGCGGGGTCAGGGTCCAAAAACAAATGGGATTTGCCACATTTCTGAAATTTGGCGCCACCCCTTACGCAGATCCGCGGGGTCAGGATCCAAAAACACAAAGGATTTGCCACATTTCTGTAATTCGGTGCCACCCCTCACGCAGATCCGCGGGGTCAGGGTCCAAAAACACAGGGGATTTGCCACATTTCTGAAATTCGGTACCACCCCTCACGCAGATCCGCGGGGTCAGGGTCCAAAAACACAAGGGATTTGCCACATTTCTGAAATTCGGTGCCACCCCTCACGCAGATCCGCGGGGTCAGGGTCCAAAAACACAAGGGATTTGCCACATTTCTGAAATTCGGTGCCACCCCTCACGCAGATCCGCGGGGTCAGGGTCCAAAAACACAGGGGATTTGCCACATTTCTGAAATTCGAACCCATCACGCACATCCATCGCAAGGCGTGGTAACCCAAACTGCGAGAACTCCCTCGGCCCTTTCATCGCAAGGTTTGGTAACCAAGCCCTTAAACCATACACGTCTTACCAATCGCCAGGTGTGGCAACCCCTCTTGTGATCAGTTGGTTTTGCTGATTGCGACTCGGCTTCGCATGAAGTTTCGATACTGCTTCACGACAGCGCCAAGGCCTCATGACTTAGCTCTTCCATGGCCCATTCTCTGAGAGAGGGGGCCGGCGGCAGGGGGCGAAGCCCTTACGGATCAGTGTGGTGTGCTTCCTCGCCGTTTCGCTTCTGATGGCCATCCGAGGCCTCAAGATAGAGCCCCAGGAGAGGCCCAAGAGAGCCCCAAGAGGCCCCAAGAGCGCCCAAGAGCGCTCCAATAGGGGTCCAGGAGGCGATTTTCGGTACTCCCGAGGGGGGAGGCCAATCGGAGCTCCCCTCTTTTTTGATCGATGTCCTCCAAGATGGCCCCAAGAGCGCCCCTAAGACTCCCAAGAGCGGCCCAGGAGGGCCCCAAGAGGCGCCCAGGTAGCCCCAAGAGGCCTCCCAGAGGCTCCCAATAGACCCCATACGAGGCCTCAAGAGGATCCCCGAGGTACCCAACTCTCCCTCCTTCTCCTCCCTCCTTCTCCTCCTTCTCGTCCTCCTCATCCTCGCCCTACTCCACCTCCTCCTCCTCCGACGACGACGACGACGACCACGACGACAACGACGACGACGACGACGACGACGACGACGACGATTCCACGTCAATCCTCCTCCTCTTGGGGTATATGACGGCTCCCCCCGCCAATTGTTTTTCTGCATGCTCCCCCCCACTGCACTGATCACCTCGACTCCACTGGGAATCGCTTCTGGATGCGCTGGTGGGGCTACACGAAGCGTCCACACTTCATCCCTGCAGCACCACCTGATGTCCGCAGGCTGGGTCGGGAGTGTCGCTTGAGACCGTGGGGCGCTCGTCCTTCAAAGGGGGCCCTTCCCGCAGAGAAGACGAATGGATGCAGGGACGAATGAGAAGGAGCCTTGGGATGCGAGGGCGCACTGCGACATCGCTCGCGTCCTGGGTTTCCTCTGATTCGGGAGCGGCCAAGAGGGGGGCGTCCCAGAGGGGGGGGCGCAAATCATTGTTGGCGGCACGTGCGCGGCCCAAGGGGGGACAGGGACGTCATGAAATAAGACGAGGCGCCATGAAATCCGAGGAAAAATCATGGCTAACACCATGATGCTCACCCCCCTAATCATCACGCCCCTCTTTGCCGCCCCCGGCTGATCTTCCTCCTCCCTCTCCCCCAGCGCGCCGGGCTCCCGCGCCAAGGCCGCGCGGCGGGCTCAGTGGAGCCGCTGGGCGCGCGAGGGCGGTAGGGAAGAGGGGGGGGGAGAGGGGGGGGGGGCACCAGGGACAACGAGGCAGGGAGGCGGAAGAGGCCTCCTCCGTCCTCCCTCCTCCTCCTCCTTCTCCTCCTCCTCCTCCTCCTCTTCCTCCTCCTCCTCCACCACCTCCTCCTCCTCCTCCTCCTCCTCCTCCTCCTCCTCCTCCTCCTCCTCCTCCTGCTCCTCCTCCTGCCTCCTGCCTCCTAGCTCCTCTCCTCCTCCTCCTCCTCCTCCTCCTCCCTCCTCCTCCTCCTCCTCCTCCTCTCCTCCTCCTCCTCCTCCTCCTCCTCCTCTCTCTCTTCTTCCTCTTCCTCTTCCTCCTCCCTCCTCCTCCTCCTCCTCCTCCTCCTCCTGCTGCCACAAGGCGGTTCCAACTGCTCTTGGAGCCCCCTCGGGACCACCCACCCCCCAAGGGGGCCACCAATCCTTCAAAAACCTACGGGACATCAGTGATGGTTACCTTCTCGCCGGTGCTCCTGCGATGCGCTCTGAAACCTCAA